AGATGGTAAAAAACTTGCACTGGTAAGAGAGCTTACAGCTCGCTTTTCCTTGAAAGTTTTTGAATAAGTGTAAACGTGAATAACAGGTCTGAACAACTTAAGCCGAGAGGGCATACAAGCTGATCCTGCTTGTAGAACTACAGAAGAAACTTGCCACAAAAGGGCACGAAGGAATATAAAAAATATATTAAACTACCATAATCATCTTAAGAAGCACTACGATGTTTTCTTTAATTAGGACCTCAGTGACTCTTTGTCTCTAACTAAGTAACCTAACTAAATCAACTACGGTAGCGACCAGTTCACAAAAGTGCATTTCAGCAAAATTTTCCCACACGATGTTAGCTATATGCGGAACTTGAATTCACCTTAGCATTTTACTTTTAGCGTGAAAACATAGTTTGTCTGTCAGAGTTACACAAAACTAATATAACGGTAAGGAAATTACTCTTCTAATAAGGTGTAAAATCCTTGTTACATGGTGTCAATGAAACCATAGCAATGCAAGTCAAGTTTTACACTTTGGCCGCAGACCTCCAATTAACAGGGGTTCAACTGAAACATCTTTTTGCACACCACGCTCCAAGGGACGCATAGCAACGTTCGGGTTCAATTCTCTTATTTACCAAACCATTTATCGTACGTGGAAAGAGATAAAGGTGTTGTTTCCTTTTAGTTTAATAATCCTTTTTAAGACGAGTTCACTGATTTCTCAACCAAAATAAAATTTTACTTTGTCTCAGGAAACTGTACAAGGTGTTAGATGGTTGTGGTTATGCAACAAAATTTGAGATATGACGTAAGAGTACTTTACGACTGAATGTCGAGAAATCAAATCCAAAAGCAAACTTGTTACCAGGGTCATCTGGAAGGAGAGAGTATCCTAAGCATGAGAACGAAGGTGATCAGGAGAAAACCATTGACAACCAATGAGGGGCAAACAGTGAGTAAAAAATCGTAGGAACCAATCTCAGCCCTGGACCACTTTCGACTTACTGAATCGAAAATTCCAACACACAAATGAACGTAGAGTGAAATTACAGGCCAGCTGGTGAATTGCTCTCGTAAATTAAATTCCTTAAACGAATATTATGGAGCCATTATTTTGACCCGGACTGTGTTGGTGCTATCCATCCGATTTTGAATTTTTAAGAGTCTCTCTCTGACCTTACTCCACATGTAAAGCAAGGGCCTGCCCCATGAGTCGGTCTGTCATTGGAGCGATTTCTTTCATCGCCTTTCTCTCTGTCTATATGCTCCGGAAAGAAGACACACCTTTTCGTTAAGGGTTAATCTTGCAGAGTTTTATTTAAGAAAAGTCGTATTTTTGGAATTTTCGGATGTTCCATGACCAGGGATACATCAACACAAGGGACCGATAACAACAGAAAAAACTGTTTCTTGAGTACAAAAGTGAAAAGGCGGACTTTTGATCACTTTAGATAAAGGTCCCAAACATACACTGTGGCTGCCCTCTGCGTTCTCGGACGTTCTTTTCTTTTATTTTGGACGATAGGCGATAACGCTTCAAAATATATGCGTTCTCAATTGCAAATCCAGTAATGAGAGCTGTTTGGAGCAAACCAGAAACGCTAGCGTGCGTGGAAAAAATTTTGTTGGAATTGTTTAAGATGAAAAAATACGCTTTAAAAAATGCATTAGCAGGGTCAGGAAATGAGACACAAATGACCCCCCCCCCTCCGTGACCCCGTACCATAAATTACCCCGTATTTCTGACTTGATTATAAATATGTACAAAATCACACTCTCGGCTCGAGCCAAAGATTTTGAACTGGGAGCTGGGTGGTGTTCGTTTAAATGGCCACACTTAATCTCTGAATCTTTTTCAAAGAGTTTCTTTTAGCCCAAGGGTCTCAACAATAACGAAAAGTTTGACGTTTGTGTAAAGAAAAACCATCTCACTTTGCTGAAGACTCAGCCCAGGTATCGCTTAATAGTATTCAGCTCAATTCCATTGTGGGTTATATTTCACGCATTAGATCTGAAGTTTATAAAGAAGTGATAGCTTTTCAATAACACGCGTGTCGACCTCACACTAACTGGTTCCAATGGCACTGAGGGTAGCCCACTAGTCACAGACTAATAGACATTTAGTGGTTTTCGATTTCCAGACCTGAGTTGAGCCAGTAAGCGAGCTGAAATTGTTGTAACACCTAAGTTGTCACTAGCCACTTGGCTAGTTTCGAGCCTTGAGTGGGGTGTTTTACAGTTTAAAAACTTTCACTCAAACAGGTTTGGGAGAGAATAACAGGCTACCGGAATATCTTGCCATAACTTGAATATTGTGACCCAATTCTTCAGCGAAAAAAAATGTATGAACATATGTCGTCGTCTCTTCTGCCAGGATAAACAGATATCTAATTTAGATATGAAAAGGATATAGGATCATACAAAAGAAACTGCACTTTACTTTGCCAAGTGATGCTGCTCTTTTCGTGATGAATGCAGAGCAGCGTGATTCAGGAATAAGTTATAGATATTCCGCACTGTCAATGAAAAGAAACCAAAGAGACGTTGCCACAAGTTCCAATAATGAACGACGATGAATTGCAATAAAATATACGAACCTGTGCGTTACTGCCCCCAATGTTGACAACGTCATAACGGAAGGGTTTTAAAATGTCTACAGCTCTGTCAAAGTTTCCCTTTCAAAAAAAAAAGACACAAAATTAAACCTCAAGAATTTCATTGTTCCAGTCATAAGTCCGTTAAGTGTTTAGTGAAGTCAAGTTGGGAGACCGTAAAAGAGGTGAGTGTACCTTGCCAGCCTGTTCAAATGCTTCACAGAGGACCAAACCAACCTCTCCAGATACTTTGCAATTTGTTCCTGAGCCATCCCTCAAAACAAAGCAAAAAAACCAAAAACAAAAAATAGACATTGCAAGGCTAAGCCATAATAACGATCGAGCTAATGCCTTAGTAGAACATGAGCCATTAATAACAAAAATAATCGAGATGACAAATAACTTAGCGCCTGACTCCCCCGTTCTAAAGGTCCCTTCCTCCCTTGAAAACGTCTCACATAGAGACAAAGAATTTCAAAATAATTATATTACTAGAGACAAAAGTCACGCTCTTAAATACGTGAACAAACTTTAACCTAAGGTTAACGTAACGTGCTTCTTTCACGATAGTTCATGAATCTTTCTATTGTTTGAATATATCGCCGCTCTCAGTTACTTTCTTTTTATGAGACAATCTCACTGAAAAGCAGTCACTTGAAATAATTTTACGACCACGAGCTGGAACAACCAAATCTCGTTTGCAGATAATGATAATAAAATTTCCGCTCGCTTCTCATGCTCTCCTTTTCAGTTTCTGGGAAAGTATTTGGTGATGTGGTCGGTTATAAATAACTATAACTTAAGTGTGCGGCTATTTAACATCGAAGGAAGTGTAGTAAGTTAATCAGAATGCCAAAAATCCATCGACGCTTGAGAGATGACTAAACACTCTTTTACTTAATGACAGGTTGCTGATCTGAGCGTTCTTCTACACTTTTTTCCCATATTTCCTAACAAAGTCTCTAAGTGACATCATTAAGTTAGTGTTGCATCTTCCTTTTCTGCTCCCAGTGTATGCATCATCATACCAACATCATTGAAAACCTGAGTTGAAAAAGTTAATAGTTGAACAAAATATGGAAAAAAAAATCAATTAAACAATAGCTAATGAGAGGTCTGGGTGAAAGAACCAGCTTGTATTTTTCATTGTGCAAGACCACCCAGGAAAGGAGAGCGATTCTCTCTTGGGTAACGTGAGCGAAAACCAAAGTAATCACATCAGCCTACCATAAGGAAAGGAACTATCACTTAGAACCAACGAGGACTCAAAATTAGAACTGCCTGAGGCGCGGGAAAACGCAGGAGTTCCCAGTTTGCCATTGATTCTAGGTTTGCTTCTGATTGGTTGAAGAGGTGTAAAGGGTTTTCTTAGACCAATCACCCAACAGAGTAAGGCAAAATCTCGGTAGTCCCGCATTACTTTTGAAGCTCTTGCAAATTGAAACCAAGGGTTACTATCAAAATGCAGAGGTCGGGAGCTCAAATATATAAAAGGAGTTCCAGGAGATGGCCAAAATCCCTTCAGGAGTAACTGACACTGTCATAGACATTTCCCACCTCGCATACATGTAAAGAAATAAGAAAAAAGAAAAAGGCAGAATGCTTGGTAAGACAACTTTTTTCAAACCAGATGTATTGAAAAGTATATTTGGAATAGTTTGAGCGCTATTGTTAGAAGAGTGGAGGTTCCCTTAAACCATTAAGAAATGTCACATCGGAGCTTTCTCAAAAGGGACTGTAATTGGCATTTTGCAAGGTTTGCTGACATTGCAGTAACCACCTGCGACTTTCCTCAACTTGCATATGAAGATGATAATTTATTGTATGCTACACCTCCGCGTAACGTATGGCACGTACCAAAATGTGATTATTTGTGTGTGACTCCCACAAATGAAACAGCTCTCTCCACCGATCATTAACATCAACACCTCAAGGAAAAAAAACAAACAAACAACAAAAAACATCGTAAAACAAAATGGATCACGTCGTGCGTTTAATTCAGCCATGCCAATAATTTCAGTATACAATAATTGCATTACAATGATTAATAATGCTTAATTTTTTAAGGCTTAATCTCGATTGATTCATAGATTATTTGAATAGTACCTTAATCTATCTATTGAGTAAATTATTGATTGAATGGTTGAATAATTAGTAGACTGACTGCCAAATGATTAGTACAACTGATTGTGCCATGAATTGATTTATGAATCATTCGATAGATCAAACGATTGATCGACAAAATAACAAATAATGATATTCCCAACACATCTGCAGGTACGTGTTATCTCATTAGCTTCCATCTGAACTGTGTAGAGCAGTGAGGAAGCATCCACTAAGGCAAGCATGGCACCAGAATGGCAACGTTTCCCAACCTTTGAACAAGAAAGAAAAGCTGCACAGTTAAAATTAATACGGAATAATGTGGTCCTTTTGTTGTTGTTGTTGTTGTTGTTGTTGTTATTGTTGTTGCTGGGGAAGCTTCAATCGGAGGGCAGAGAGAAGTAAGTGTGTTGAAATGGCTCGATGTCTTTCACAGCACGTGCTGGAATACTAAGGGCGTACTGCATACCACGGGAAAGAAAAAGAACTCCTGCTGGTATTTTGTAGTACCGTTATCTGAAGCTAGGGTTTTCTGACAATTGCCCAAAATCTCAATGGGGCTCAGACTGAAGGCTGTGTCTGGCGGAATTATTGTATGGGTGTGAGCTTATTTTTCTTTAAATCCCCTGAAGGAAAAATTCATGTAACTTTACTCTTGGTATAACGAGCCAATGCAAGCTGAAAAAAAAAACAAAAAAAAAAAAAACTTGACTGTTATCTCGGTATGTGAGCCCAAGGCTTCTAAATCTAACTTATTGCAACCCTTCCAATTATTTTTAATCTCCAGATCTAAATGGCAGCAACAGCAGAAAATTTATATATTATGCGTAGGAAAGCGGTTCTAACGTTAGGTAAAATTAAAAAAAAATTTATATATCATGCGCAAGACAGCGGTGCTAACGTTAAGTACAATTCACCGTATGTAGGCCTAACAGTCCAGTCATTCAAGGTCGTGCTAAGGAATTTAATTCCTTCATCCTAACGTCCTTCCATTTCTATAACATGGGCCTTTGCATGAGTGCTCCAGCAATCTCTTGGATTCAATTCAAGACCCTTCGCAAAAAAAAATTACTGAAAAAAAAAAAAAAAAAACACTTCCATTGGAATACCATTGTTTGTTTTAGGATGTAACCACTTCTGATGTGGTAATCACTGCAGCGTTTTGACTGCAAAATGGTGAAGTCTGCCTCTTCAGGCAATGAACACAGCCACATCATTGAAGTATTATGTGAAGCACAACAAGGAAATGTAGACTGTAAGCCTACTACCCAGCCATGATTCAGAATGAAGATCACGACAGGCTATTCCTAAATTGTTTAAGAAGTTAAATATCACAAAATTGCTATCAACAAAGTTTTAAAGCTAACCTTAAGTGCATGCTTCTCCGCTTCTCTGTAAATTCCTGTTTCTATCAGGCCAAACTCGTACATTCCGTGAAGATATCTGCCGTTGATAGAAAGGTAATTTAATGTTTCCTCAAAACCTGTCATATTAACACTCAACTCATTGCTGTTTTTCTTTTCTCCTTTTTTTTTCATACTTTTTTTTTAAATAAGCGCCCTATTTCTAATAAGCGCCTTCCCTTGAGGTACCATAAGTAAATAAGCGCGGCCTACTCTTGTGAAATGGATCTTGGAATTCCTAGAAATTCCTAGGAATTACTGGGAATGAGAGGTGTGAGTTTTCACGGTAATTCGGACCGGGAATTCCGAGGAATTCTCAAAAAACCTAGAAATTCCCAAAAAAAACCTAGAAATTCCCAAAACAAACCTAGAAATTCCAAAAAAAAACCTAGAAATTCCCCAAAAACCTTGAAATTTCCCAAAAAAACCTAGAAATTCTAAAAAATTCCACATTCATAATCCAACAGGACTTGGAATTCCTGGGAATTTTTAGGAATTCCAACTCAGAGTACCAATGACTTCCCTGTAATACTGTGAATCTAAAAACTTGCTGGAAATTCCAAGGAATTACTGGGAATTTTAGGAATACTTCAAGGCAACTAATATCAAATAAATATATGTATTAACTCCCAACTATAAATTTAAGCAGTCAATGAAATTTATTTACCTGCTAACTCAGGTTTACATATTAATTATTTGCTGTTGTATATTAACATCAACATGCAATAATATTAGGATGAAATTTCTTCTTTTCTTGAAAACTTCGTATTAATTATCCTCAATTACAGCTATTCATTTAAAATAGTCCTAGTGAATCAGTAATTTTGGTTTGACACAAATTGTGAATAAATCTGTTGATTCTTTTTCATGAAATGCAATAGCTTGGGTTATGTTTATTGCAATAAATACTATCAGTCAAAAAATAGTCTTGAAAGGAATAATTTAATTTGGGATAATGATACAAACAACATTTTATCCTTTCCTCCCTGAGTCAGGCTTTGACTTAATTTAATGTGGTTGTAACTTCTTTGGATAAAACTTGTGTGTTAAAATTCAAATGTAAGCTATCAAGCAACATCTTCATGCTATGTTGTTTGTTTTTGTCGATTCTGCAAGTTGAAATTGTGAGATTTCTTCTCAATTTTGACTGAACACTCTTGGGAGTGAAGGGCCTTGTTACAGTTAAATAATTGATTTTTAATATTGAATTCTTGTTGTAACTGTAATAATTAATTGCAATGAAGTTATCCCAAACTGCAGACTAAGCAGCCGTTTGTCTTTTTCTGCTGGGCTCGCAGCTTCAGTTGCCAAATTCCAAACGCGACTAAACTAATCCTGAAACCTTTAGCCTACTGATAGATTTATTTCATTGAAAAGCGTAAGTTTAAGAAACTGTGGCATGCATGTGACCGATTCGCTTCTCAGGTTTGATCACGTACCAAATATCGCAATTTGTACTCACCACAAACTTTCAGAATCCGTAGCTTTATAATTAAATGGCCGCTCGATCCTTGTGCCGGCCAATCGATGGTTGTACGTTGTCCCTTCTTTCAACTTCACGGCGCCAAAGACTTGCTTTTCATTTACAGCACTCACGCTATTCTCATTTTCCCATTGCTCGACGGTAATACTCATCTTTAGAGATGTCATATAAGCAAAGCAGTCGAGAGAAGAATAACTTAACGCACGAGCGATCAATAGATGAAAAGTACATTCACAGATGAGCGCCAAATGGAATCTCCTTTGTTTCCAATCACGGGTAAGATCATCCGCTGGCTTACCCAATTGCAGTCTTAAGAGAACGCGCAAGGTTTCACTGAGCTGATCGGCGATGGTGACGATGGGTTTACCTTGGACCCATGTTCTGAAGATGGTCTAAGTAATGATGTGAATTCACTCTACGTAAACATAATCGAGAAGAATCGAATGTACTACAAATGCAAGATTTGTGGCCGGAAGCCGTCGAGGAAACAAAGACTCGAAACCCWGACTTGAGTTGTGTTCACGGCAAAGTTGAGAAACAACCAGAAGGCAATCACAATTTTAAGTGTGATTACAAACGTGTTTTACCCTCATTATTATAACAGATGCACTCATTCTTCAAAGCCTCCTGACACATGGACGGGTATTCTGAAGTTGCTCCGATGGACCGTAACAAGCGTTCAGCGACACGTTCCAACACACCGATCTCGATTCCTGTTTCGCTTCTACTGAGCTAGCAGCGGCGCCAACAGAGTCAAGTGCGTCTCGTAACGAAGAAACATTTGTACAAGAGAAGGAAGCGGTTATAGTACGGTAGAATTTTTGCCTACAAATTAATGTGCACATTCCGAAGCGTTGACCCATGCTTATGATTATGTTTATGTATTATGATTTCGGCGCATCTCCGCACATGAGACATTTTGCATCACAAGAAAACCTTTTATGACTGGAATCGACGAGGCCTTTGAGGTTAGAAAGCATATCTGTGATATGGGTACATTGGATTTAAATTGACAATTTGCACTTTATATAACTGACTGCTGCTTTATGGAAAAGTGCATATTTATATTGAGATTTACTAAACCTTAGATTAAATAATATATTTCATGATAAACATAAACCATATATACATCTCAGTCTTGGTTATATACATCTCAGTATATACATCTCAGGTATATACATCTCAGTCTTGGTTGGTATATTTTTTTTTTTAGCATATCTTTTATTGAAACAGTTTTAAGCCTCTAAAATTACTCCTTGTCTTGAAACCTTCACATTCAAGGTATTGAGAATTTCTCTGAATTATTTGGATTTCAGGGTTATTTATTTTGCCTCAAATTCATTTCCCAGAAATTCCCAAGAATTCCGCCCTTCTTAACTTAAAGGTGGTAATTGTATAGCTGAGAATTCCRAGGAATTCCTAAGAATTCCATGTCCTCACAAATCTGGAACCTTCCTTTCCCAGAAATTCCCAGTAATCCCAAGCTTTTCAAATCAGAGCTAAGTTTGCAGAGTTGAAAATGTTTGAGAATTCCTAGGTATTCCAAGTCCTCACAAAACTGGAACCTTCCTTTCCCAGAAATTCCCAGTAATTCCAAGCTTTTCATATTACAGCTGATTTGCATAGTTTGGAATTTTTGAGAATTCCTTGGAATTCCTAGGAATTCCCAGAAAACTGGGAATTCAGTTTGCAAGGGGTAAGGCTCTAAAGCGAGTCATTACGGTTATCAAAAACAGTATTTAATTGAAGTTTAACTTAACAACCTTTTTAGGTAGACACAAACAGGGCTGTTTATGAGATCAAGCTCTCTGACACGCAAGTATTTTCAAGTTCTCTGGCACGTACATATTTTGAACGAGCTCTATGAGTTCATTGACGCTACGTGGGTAAATAAAGTATCGATTGATATTGATATTGATTGATTGACTAGCCTCTTACTTCGGAGAGAAAGGCAGGATCCTCCACACAAGACAGACTAAACACTGATTGAATGCTGAAAGAACTTAGAACAGTTAGTGCTAAGCCATCTACCCATAGAGTGGCATGTTTTCCTTCCATTTCGGTATCACCCTTGCAATTGAATCTCTAGAAGTAGGAGTTGTGAGCCATCTTCAAAGCAAACATGTCAGTTGGGTTCTCCATTAATATATCTTCACACGTTAGATATGCTTGGACAGTATTTCTGAAAGAAATGAGAATGGAAGTATATTGTCAGTAATCAATTGCTCATATTGCTGTCCATAAGGGGCTCCTCTGTGAAGGAAAAGGGGATATGGTGAGGACAGCGTCTTTGTCCAACCCAATTGTACCCCTTTTGTCACTCACCCTCTTGAGGTGTAGTGCCGATGACAAGGGAGAAGGGTAGAGGGAGTATTTGAGAAATTACCAGTAGCCACTCATTGCAGCAGAAATTTTACAAATTGTTTTGTACATGACAATTTCATATTTGTAGGTGTAGGTATAATGGTGGGTAGGGAAAACAAATAAGAAATTTTTGCCTTTGAAGATATTTTTAATCTTCCAGAAGTGACGAGGGCGGCGATGATAATTTAGACCACCCTTACTTTTTAGGCATAAAAATTAGTAGCGAATTCTTGGTGTGAGAGATGTGTTTGCATATTTTCTTGGTCACAACTATAAAGTTATGAGATAAACTATTGTAGCATAGATAACTGTAAACAGCTCTGCCTGGGGACAGGTAGCCAAAACGCACTTAAACAAGATACTCCATCTTCAAAAACGGGTAGCCCGCTTGATGATTGATCTCTACCAATATTCTGTCTTTACCTTTAATCTAGTTTAAAAATTGCTCTATCTTAATGCATGATGCCTA